GTGTGTGTGGTGTGTGTGTGTGTGTGTGTGTGTGTGTGTGTGTGTGTGTGTGTTGTGTGTGTGTGTGTGTGTGTGTGTGTGTGTGTGTGTGTGTGTGGTGTGTGTGTGTGTGTGTGTGTGTGATGTGTGTGTGTGTGAGTGTGTGAAGACAGAAAGCCAGCCTAGTAGTTTATGTTACTGGCATCTAACACACATGATGATAATAATGACACTAATGATAATACTGATAATAATGATAATAATGACACCAAAAATGATAATGACACAGGATAATGATAATAATAATGATAGCAATGATAATGACACCAGTAATGGCACTAATGATGATAATGATAAACACCAATAAGGATAATAATGACAGCAATAATAATGACACCAATAATATCACTAATAATGATAATAAATGAACTCAGAGGGCTGTGACCTTGACCCGTAAGGTTGGTCCTCAGGTCAAGAACCATTCATAAGCCTCTTCCCCGCACGCCCCTCACTCAAAGAGAACCACAAAGTCAATATGTGTAGAAAAAACTTCGGACGGCAAAGAACTCCCGACAATCTTGCCTTCCTGAGGGAAGCTGTTGCGGATGCCAAGGAAACTGCCAACAGAGTAAGGCAGGAAAAGTGGTTGGAATGGTGCCAGACTTTTGGACACCAGACCAGCCTTACAGAGTTGTGGAAAAGGGTCAGTCAAGCAAGCGACAAGCCCCGAAATGCACGCATCATGACCCACAGTCAGAGGCTCACAGACTGGTGCTTGAGTTCTCAGCCAGAACCAGCAGCAATAACCTGTCTCCAGTGCTGAGGGATAAACAACAAAACCTAAATCCAAGTATTTACGTCTGACAGGAGAGCTTGCATTCTTGCAGCTCATCAACTAGTCCTGGCAAACTGCCACACTGTCTCGGAGCTGGAAACAAGCCACAATAATTCCCATCCCTAAACCAAAGAAGCCGGTTAAGTACAGTCCCATCTCTCTTCTCAGCTGCCTGGGATAAACAGTTGAGAAGATGGTTCTCGACAGGCTCCGATGGAAAACGGGACCCCCTCATGAACACCTGCACGGGTTCACAAGGGGTAAGAGCACAGCACACAGCATTTCCACACTCCTAAGCACAATATGCACCTCACCCTCTGTGGTTGTCTTCCTAGACTTGGAGAAGGCTTTTGAACTGGCAAGCCCCCTTGCCATTCAGGAGACCCTATTCCACAAAGGAGTCAAAGGCAGACTCTTGGCCTGGGTAGCTGACTATTTAAAAAACAGATCAGCAAATGTCAGATTTCAAGGCCACCTCTCACAGCACATGCCACTTGGGAATGGAACACCTCAGGATGGGGTTCTCAGTCCTGCCCTTTTCAACACCCTTATGTCCAACATACTCAACATTCACCTGCCAGAGAGATGCAAGGTCATCTCTTATACTGATGACCTGGCAATCATAACCTCTGGCAACCACTAGAGATCAGCGTTGTCTGAATCTTGTGTCTGAAGAGTGTTGTAGGACGGGTCTAAAAATATCGGCAGCAAAATCAAAAGCTATTGCTCTGAGAACTAATGTCAGAAACAAAAAACTCACTGTTCAGGGTATGGATCTGGAATGGGTAAAGGACTATCTATACCTTGGTGTATGGATAGGACACACTCACTTTCAAAAAGGAGATCCAATACCTGCTCGACCGAACCAAGGAAAGACTGGCAGTCATGAAAGTCATGACAGGGAGACACATAAGAGCAGGACACAAAGTACTAAGATCATTCTATGTACATGCTGTCCGTCCTATCATTGACTATGCTTCTGTCGCCCTCATTGCTTCCAGCACAACATTAAAAGAAAAACTGGAAACAATACAAAATGAAGCTGCCAGGATCATTCTGGGAGCTCCCAGATGGACAAAGATCATCAATCTCCTCATGGAGGTTGATTTACCGTCCTTGGACACCCGAATTGATCTAATGGCAGCACAGTTCCTTTCCAAGGTCTTGCAGGCACCCAGAAACTCATACTTAAGGCAAAGAGTACTCAGACGCCTACAACAAGACTATCAGTTGTTTGCGAACAACTCTTGGCTCACACAGACTACCAGAGTATTGATACGCTTTCAACTAAAAGAATCACTGCTTGCCAAGGGCATGGACTCCCCTCACCCTGACTACAAAGAACCCCCGCCTTTGGCAAACGAAATGATCGAATTCTCAATCCTAAACCTTACAATGAGAAAAGATCATTATTCCATGCCTAGCCTAAAGGCACAAGCACAAAAGGTCATTGCACAAATAACTTCTCCGGGTAGCATAACCTACTACACGGACGGATCCGTGGATCCCATAAACCATACTGCAGGCGCCGGCTTCGCAACAAGGGATACCACAGCATCCATTAGGGTCACTGACAATGCCTGAACGCTCCAAGCTGAAACGGTTGTGATTATGGAGGCCCTGACACACGCGTCCCTAAGGGCTGCACATGTCATTCACACAGACTCTAGAGCAACTATTGACAGTTTACAGCATAGCATGGCCCAAGACATCTACCTTTTGACATCTGTACTAACCATAGCTCAAAGAATTCTCAGTCAGGGTAGAAGAATTATCAGAAACTGGGTCCCAAGCCACGTTGGCATTCAAGGGAATGAAGTTGACAAACTAGCCGAAAAGGGCAGGGGTATGCCCCCATCCTCCATGATCGTTAAACCTAGCCGAAGGAGACTAAGCCAAAGTACCAAAGCTGCAGTGTGTGCAGTCCTCCGGGGAGCACATAGAAAAAATACCATAAATTCGCTCGCTGCCAAGTGGTGCTCAGATGCTACAGGCTATGAGCCACTGGCCCTTCCTTCAAATACAAAAAGAGTTACCGAAGTCATACTTCACAGACTAAGATTAGGTTACTCATGCGCTTGGCAAATTATTGATGACGAGATTGCCAGGTTATGCAAACACTGCGGCGAACCTAACGCTACCTTATTACATTACTTGCAGAATTGTGAACACACAATTTCTAAGACAGGGACCACCCACCACGGCCACCGGGCTGGTAAAAAGGGTTTGCTACATGCTTAGCCCGTGGCAGCTGGATCGCTTGCTCGCAATTCAGCCACAACAATAAGCATACAGTTCAAAGAAAACATGAGTTAACTAGAAATAATTGACACAGGTCGGAACACTCCAGAGAAAATGCCCGGGCGAAGTATGACTTCGCAAATCTAACTGAACTGAACTGATTGCCCCTCACCACTGTTCCTCTCGTTCGATCAAGATGAATGACTTTGAGCGCAACTTTTGGGATCTGCCTGACGTTGCTGCCCCTCAGTATGGGTCTGGCGCGGCTTCCTATACGGTTGGAGACCTTCTGGGGGCGTTTTCCTCAAAGAACATTATGGACCACTTACTAGGAACGCCCTTTCCGCCCCCGAAGAGACAGTGCGTTTGACCTCTGAGTGGTCTCTCATGGAGTCAACCTTTGTATACAGGCTACTTTACTCCCTCACAATCGGATGTAGACACTGCTACATCACTGCCCTCGGTGTCTCCTCCCCACGAACAGACGATTTCACCTTCGCCCGCTCCGGCACCTCCTCCAATAAGCCAAGAGATCGTGAGCGCTCTCGGCCCCATCACTGTCACCTGCCTGTCGCCGCAGGTAACTTCCTCGTTAGCTGGACCCTTGCCCTCCGCCCGCAGAAGGAAGAACGCCCACTGTCATCTTTGCGACAAGCGCTTCGAGAGTCGCTACAAAACATACTTAGTCAGGATGAAAGGAAACATCAAATTGTAGAGCAGTTTGTTTTATATCTCATACATAGACAGCATTTCGTCAAACAATATCAACATATTCTCATTTTAGCGTCCATAAGTGATCCTGGGTTGGTAACACTTGGTAACGTACTCGCGCTCTGTAACGGTGACCGTCTCTTCCAGCTGCACATCCTTGTAACTGGTGACCGTTTGGGTCTCCCAGACCGCGAAGGTCTGGCGAGTGGTCTGCGTGACAAAGTGAGGCGCCAGCTCGGTCTCGGTGACCAGTGCCAGCTGAGTGTCCGTGACGGAGAGAGTGGAGAAGGCCGTCTCCAGGCTGAGCCGCGTCAGCGTCAGCGTCTTGGTGTCCAGCTGTATCGCCGTCTGCGTGAGGGTCCTGTCCTCTACGGCAACTTCGCTGGCCAA